TCTTTTATTGTTATCGCTATTACTGTTGGTATAATTATTATCATCATTCTTTTATTGTTATCGCTATTACTGTTGGTATAATTATTATCATCATTCTTTTATTGTTATCGCTATTACTGTTGGTATAATTATTATCATCATTCTTTTATTGTTATCGCTATTACTGTTGGTATAATTATTATCATCATTCTTTTATTGTTATCGCTATTACTGTTGGTATAATTATTATCATCATTCTTTTATTGTTATCGCTATTACTGTTGGTATAATTATTATCATCATTCTTTTATTGTTATCGCTATTACTGTTGGTATAATTATTATCATCATTCTTTTATTGTTATCGCTATTACTGTTGGTATAATTATTATCATCATTCTTTTATTGTTATCGCTATTACTGTTGGTATAATTATTATCATCATTCTTTTATTGTTATCGCTATTACTGTTGGTATAATTATTATCATCATTCTTTTATTGTTATCGCTATTACTGTTGGTATAATTATTATCATCATTCTTTTATTGTTATCGCTATTACTGTTGGTATAATTATTATCATCATTCTTTTATTGTTATCGCTATTACTGTTGGTATAATTATTATCATCATTCTTTTATTGTTATCGCTATTACTGTTGGTATAATTATTATCATCATTCTTTTATTGTTATCGCTATTACTGTTGGTATAATTATTATCATCATTCTTTTATTGTTATCGCTATTACTGTTGGTATAATTATTATCATCATTCTTTTATTGTTATCGCTATTACTGTTGGTATAATTATTATCATTATCGTTTTTCTTGATTATCAAAATTATCTAAATCATTGTTGTTTTATTAATAGCATTGTTATTATCCTTATTTTCTTTTTCTTTTTATCACTAACATTATTATGCTTATTATGTCATTATCGTGAATCTTAATATCATCACCACTGCCCTTTTTTTATATTTCAGTGAAACAATTAATATCATCATAAAATTCCAAAACAGTGATCCATGGTCTTTTATTCCGTTTCATCAGAAAATATTGTCTGATTAGATTTTGTAGGAACTTGAAATAACTAGCGTGTCGATGAAGTTATCATTTATCTTTATTATTATCATTATCATTTTTTTGGAAAAAAAGTCTTAACAAACCCAGAAACAGACATAATGACAGAAAACATGTGTATTATACATATGTAACTATGCATGTACACATATATACATGCATACATGTATCCATACATGCATGGATACATACCAACATATATATATATATATATATATATATATATATATATATATATATATATATATATATATATATATATATGTATGTATGTGTATGTGTATGTTTGTAGAAAGACAAAGTGAAAAGAGACACAGAAACAGTTATTACAAACATTACTATGAATAACAAAATGTATACAGCAAATAAAACATAAACGCACAGTATGTTGTTTTACCAGCATATATGAATGCGTTTGATATTGAATATTATTCTTTTCATAACAGATATACTGTATACCTTTCCGATATTCGTGTCAAATTCATACAAGTTGCATTCATTCTAAAGAGGATGATAAATTCGCATTTTTCAACTCAGAGATCATCGATTAACGCTTAAAAAACACACGATTAACATGTGGATTTCTTGTATCTACTGATTAGAAATAATTAATTCAGAGAGCTTATTGATAAGGTGACATATGTATGCAAGGAAGAAAGTCAGCCTATGAAATTGCAGTAAAGGGAATGCAAAGGAGTAAAAAAATATATATAAAACAAATTTATCAAGAAGTTAAAAGTAAAAAGAGAAAGTTCTTTTTGTCCCAAAATTAAGGTGTATGCAAGCGAAAAGGATTAAAGAGCACCAGTAGGGGAAGTGGCCCTTACTTCATAAAAAAACAGAAATATGAAAAAAGGAGTAAGGGGTAAGAGCAGACAGTTTCTTACTTCCCCAAAGAAAGTAGAAACAGCAAAGAATGATGAATACAGAAAAACAACAACAGCGCAGATACATATCAATAAGGAAAAAGTAATAATGAGAAGCGCTTCATCATTACGCAATCGAAGGATGGAATATAAAAAGCAATAAATACGGAATAAGGAACACGTAAAACAAAAAAAACGGCAGGGGAGTTCCTTATTTCCCAACCCTCAAGTCGAATCCCGTGGTTTGCTGAATGGTTCTGCTAATCCATTCAGATGCTTGGCTCACGGACGCGTAGACTCCAGGCATGCCGGCCTGCCCGCACCCGAGGCCCCACGCTACGATGCCAGCCTGCAAGAGGGGGGGAGGGGGTAGCTTTAGATTCAACCCTTAGTGATGAGGATGTCAGATCAATTGATTTTGTTCTCTTGCTTGCACTTGTAATTCGACTGCACTTTAGGTGATCAACAAATATGATTGTAGGGCACAGCGTAGATACTTTTTTCGTGAACGTATGACTGCTATTGTTTTTTTTTCTCTCTACGAAGAAATCCTGGGAAACTAACCTGGACATAAC